GGCCAGTTAGAGAAGGAAAGCCAGCGCTGAAAAATGTTTAGAACAATTTGTCATCCGTGACGTTGGCTTGATTGAGTTTCCAAATTATTATCACAAAGAATTAAAAAGAGCATAAACTAAATGACGAAATAATCATATTAAAAAGTTATTTTTGTCTGCCCCGAGATTACTTTTTTTAATTTTGTTTTTATTGAGATAAGGCTTCGACAACAAGGTTATTAAACCATTTTTACAGTTATTTTATTACTATTAAATTTAATTGGATACATTACAAAAACGGTATTATTAATCTACATTGTGTTTTTTATTGGTTCTATCAGTATTTTTTAATTATTGGACTATTTTTTTCTATATATATTCCAACTATGATATGTAATTGTTAGTTCAGTAATTAAGACTTTTTTTTAAGTATTACATTCATTTTTTTGGATTATCATAGCATCCTTGACAGCGATTTAAAAAAAATGTTTTAGCCAAACATAGCTACGCAGAATGCGTTTTACTAGGTCCATGGTTGTTTTAGAGCAAAATCACATGAAAAAATCAAAAGATAAGAACATTTTCAAGACAACGTCATGTCCGATTTTGAAAATAATAAGGTCGAAAAAAGGTATAACTGTTATATAAATGTAAAATATGTGATTTTTTTTTTTTTTGTCATAGGTATTTTGCTCTAAAATTATTAGAGGGTGAATAAAACGCATTCTGCGTAAGTATGTTTTAACACTAGAAAGCTGTGTGTGTAGCGTTCTCTTAAACAGACATTCTACAACAACGATAGGTAATGTATAGGACCAAAAGTTAAAAAGTCTTACTCGACACCAAAAATTGATATATTTTTCAAATTAAAAATCAACATGAAAGCCAATATATAGTATGAAAAACAAAAAATATCATTGACTTTTTATTTTTATTTTTGGTAGACATTTTGAGTTAAGGGGTTGAATTTGAATTGTAAGGTGAAGCTACTAAGTAGTGTAGTGTACTGTGTAACATTTATAATATATTATCAAAAATGCAAATTCAGTAGTCAAGTCTTCTTTATCAATGAAAAATAAGATAAAAATCAATACATTTTTTTTTTTGTAATTTTGGTTATATATTTTTACTAAATACATATTATATCTCACTCGTAAAACACTAATAGGTAAAACTATTAATTTTATTTTTTATATTTTATAGTTAATATAAATTACATACATTCATACATAATTCATATACTTCTGTGAACTATTGGTGGAATACATTAAGAAAACCACACTTTAGCCTAAATGAGAAGAAATAAAATAAACGTAATCTAACTCTAACCACCATTTAGACTATGATGCTAATGGAAAGGCAAATAACGTTTACATGCATATTTTATTTAATATTTACAAGGCAGATAGAACTCGCAGACAGTAACGAGACAACGCCGGGTCGACCGAATGTGTTAAGTTTTTTAAAAGTTTCAAAAAATCTTATCACTTACTTTTGCGCGAACAGTAACAGTTATAATATGCTTTTGTACTGTACAACAACAAACGGTTACAGCAGTATCATTAAAGATTACTTACACATAAAAAGTATATGCATGAATGCGTTTGGGAAAAACACAATATTATTGTATAATACATTATGTATTATACATTAGGATACGTTGTACATTTATCATTTTTCAGGGTTGTTTTGACGTTTTTCGTTCTGATCGCCATCAAGTTAAACATATTTTTTTTTTCGTATCAACCTATCCAGGCTTTGTGAAATAATTGTGGTTATTCAGAATTATATTTTCATATATGTTAATAAAAAAAGGCAAAATGCAATATGTACATAGCGGAATTGCGGAGTTACCTTTATTTAGGCCTTTAACTATTGAGTAAGTAATAGTGAGCGCACAAGCTATACACACTGTAAGTACAATGTGTCTAAGGTATAAATATTTATATAAAAAAAAAAACCTCTCGAAATCTAAGGAAGCACAGCTGTACCAAAATTTGGACAGAATATAATTTCCAAATTAAATTAAATGATAATTATTAATGGTTCAAGTTTTGGCTGTATTCAGAATTTAGACAACGTAGAACTAGTCGAGTCCTATCAGACTACTTAAGACTCCTATAATAGCAACGGAAATCCTAGGCATATTCCTATTTCCTGTACAGTGTATAGGAACGATAAATTCCTCAGCGATACCCTAATAAGTCATCCCATAATCGTTATGCGAGTTTTCTTAATTTACTTTCCAGTGGAGTAGCAAACAAATCAATTATTCTGATATGATGAAAAATGGTAAAATTACATCAAATATGCAGATTTTATACTAATTTAACTTACTCCAATATAATTGATCAAGAAGCATAATATATTGTTACAAACTAAAACAGTTTCTTCGGTTTATTATTATAGGAATAGCTAACTATTTCTCGAATCAATGCCGAAATGATTAGAATGTCGATTATTAATAGTAATATGCAACGGAATTTTTCTTGATGTATAACATTATACTTGTAATTTTTATCCTAAGTAATACATTTAAAATTTTTGTTTGATGGTCACGTTATTTTGTTTCAATTATTCATGTTTATTTTTTAATAAAAGTGAGTACTCATATTATAGTATGTTTCGTATTGATTTTCTTATATGTACATTGTACAACAGTATTGATAATTTTAGTTTTAACTTTATTAGTATGTCGACTTCTATGATGATAATAATAACAATAATGATTAGTTGTATTATAATATATAATCGTCATCCAGCTTTTTGTTCTTTTTATAAAGCTTGTTAGATCTCAGATTTATCGTTTAAAAATATTTTATAGCCTGTATATGTTTTACCCTTGAAATGCATATGAAAATGAACAAAAAATATGTAAACAGTACAATACGCCGGAACGTTGTAATGATTGCCTACACAGAGAGCCGGCTAAGATTAATTTTATTGACACATATTTTTTTTTCACAAATATAACCCAGTTGAAAACGACATTTATCCTAGTCGTATAATTTGTTAAACGCATTGTTTATACTTAACAGTCGTATATATCTGATTGTTTATACAAATTAGTGTTTCCAAAAGTTAAAGAGATTCTACAAGGTGATGCATTAACTACCGTGTACAGGCTCAAAATAATGTTAATTTTTTGGCATTATAAAGCTGAGAAGATTTTTCTTGTAAACTTTAGTACAATACAATCTCTTATTGTTTCCATACTTTTGTATAAAATCATTCTTCTCATAGAACTAATTTATTTACTCATCAACTTTTTCAAGCGGTATTCTTTAAATTTTATTACATTTCACTTAAAATAATAAAATTTTAAAACAAATAATTGTTCGAGTGCACACGTTTTTTTAATGATAATTTCATATTTATGTGTATAAAAACAAATTTAAATTTCAGCAGTGTTTACCCGATGAAATCGTTTCTTTGATCACTTATACATTTGATTATGACTAAGCCTATATAGTCACAATCGAGTGATACATTTTAAATTGAAGTACATTTTATTATTATGCTTTTTAAAAGTACGATTTTAAAAGTTTATGGGCAATAAAAATTAGCAAATGTAGATCGGGTGAGTAGAGTGTGCTTGGATAAACATATTATTACACCATTTTCTCACAGTTGAACTTAAAGTATGAACGTTGCTTTATACATTTAAGTTTTTAATTAAAACATTTATTTATAAAATGTATGCTTCAATTTGGCTAGTATTAGCTTGGTTTTAGTCAATGAATCAAGCTTTTATATTTCTATTATATAAAATACATGTTTGAACAATACAAATTTGTGTCCACATATTCACCATAATTTTAGTTCGTCTATGAAATTTTCTCCGTGTATAGACAATGCCTGTAAAATGGTCCAGTTTTTACATTATACTTATGTTTTTCTACTGTTGTGGAATTGGCACAGGCATTTATATAAGTGTAAAGTAGTTGTCTATAAGGTTTAAAATGATTTGACTGCTATAGCTTAATTTTAATTTAAAGACTATAATAATCATAATAAATAATCGTGTCCAGACGTTACTTTAATTCAAATATCTTAGCGTGAACATGTTAAACCACCGCTGCTAAGCAAACTCTGCATTTTAATTTAGTTATAATATTCTATAGAGAACATATAAAATAATTTTTATTCTGGTCAAACCTTTAAGACCTGTTAAAGAAACAAAACACTCTTTTCATTTTTGAGATTTTTCCTCTGCCAGATTAAAACAGTTAAAGACTTAAACTAATAATGTATTATAAATTACAAAACTAAAAAGGCGGTTTTATATAACATAATATAGTTGTTCTGTTTAATGGCAAATGAACCATGCTTTAAAAGCCTTTGTTCCGTTTTTTTAATTCTAAATGCACTTTTTATACTGTTCCATTTTGGCTTTAAGAACTTCGACCATTAATAGGATTAACTAGGTATTGTAATTGAAGAGAGGCTATTATATGCCATCTTTTTTTTTTTATTCTACTTGAAGACTGTTTAAACTGTCAAAGCTTATAGAAAAAAAGTTCAAACCTGAATTAAATAGAATTCAAAAAATCCAAAGTCTGTGAGTTTTTAATTATAACCCAACAAATGTTTAGTATTGAACAAGATTTATGCATTTTATTGCATTATTAAAATGAATCGGACATTAAATAAAAATCTGGGTTCTCTCAAACATTGTTTCGCATACGCAAATAATAACAATGGCGTCATACTGTACTATCAACACAACAAAAACACACACACTATCTATGTTTGATTGTACTATCTAAACGTCTGATAGCGAGGCCGGGTTATATGTATTTTTATATAAACATTAAAATATATATATAAGCGTTAAGTGAAGTAAGTATAAGCAAATGGGACAAATTTAAATGATATTTTCCGAATAGAGCAATGGATGGTTTACAAATACTTTCGGCAATGACATGTCAGCGTGGGTACAATGCGACTAAATAAATATTGTCGGCGTTTCCGAGCCGATTTTCTAATATTCAAAAATAATACTCATCGAGTCGACTTACCGGTCTGCCCTTTGCCCAGTGTCTTTTCCAGCCTGAACGGACCCACGTACTGTTGGATGGTGTCCATGGGCGGCGGAAACGGATATTGTTCGGTTTGCATTTTTCGGATTTTTCTTCTTATCGCAACAGCTTAAGCCGGTGGTTACGTCGGCAGAGCGGATTAACGCACAATTAAGATTTGATCGGCGTTTTCTTATCAGTTAGAAGCCATAGCACCGTGGCCCGGCCGCGGTATGCTGCGAGTGGTAACCGTGACCGTGATAACGGCGGACGTGACGCGGAAGACGGTGTCGCGCCGGCGGCATGTCCGCGGACGACCACGCGGTAACCGCTTGCGGTGGTGTATCGTAATTCGTGGACGGCCGAGAGACGGGGAGGGTAAAATTCACTGGAAAAAAAAATATTTCCACTACCAATGCGTAAGTACTCGAGAAAATACGAAGGGAAAAAAAATAAAACGAATTATTCGAATAACCGACGATACGGCACCTCCTCCGACGGTCGGTCCGAGTCACGTGCCACGACGTACATGTAGCGCCGGCCGAATGTTTCGCTTAACTGCTTTGGCGTTACGTTATATATAAAGGGTGGGCCGCCTCTGTCGTCGACGGCGAAGGGCGATACGGTGGCGGCGGCGGCGGCGGCAGCGGTGGTGTAGTCGCGCTGCATCTGCAACGCTATATCGATGGCGCGAGCACGCGGTGGAGTTATTGACGGACCACGGCCGCCGCCGCCGTTGCCGCCTACACGCAGACACACACACACACACAAATACGACACATAAACACACGGCATACGACGAACACTCTGTATAATATGTGTATATATATGTATATGTATTGTAGAAGTTTAAATATATTACCTATGTATAAGAACAGTGACCAGCAAGGGTGGTCAACGACCTTGTTACGGCCCCAAAGGGGAGGAAGATGATTCGCCCCGGGCGACAATACACCGATTACCCGTTTTAATAATAATGATAATGTAATATTTAGACGGAACGATCTACGTTTAATTTGGAATAAATTTGCCTGTACGTTTTATAGTTGAACTATAACTAGAGTTTCAAACGAAATCTTTATTGTTAAACGTACAGAGTGATCGTTTAACGTAAAACACTATCAATATCGTATACATTTAGTTTACTTTTTTAGTTAAGAATACATTTCTAAAAATGTTAACCAGTTTTGAATAATTACTTTTAGTTTTTTTTTAATAAATCTTTTATTCAGTACAAATACAATTTGTACAATAATCATTTGTTTAAATATTATTCTTACAAATGCAAATTCAATTATACGAAGAGGATCTAATTTGAATTACAGAACAACGCAAATTTCACGCTATACGCTAACTTTTTCTATAATATAATTGTGTTAGCATAAAAAGTGTTATATAAAACCTACATTATGTATATTAATTAATTATCAAAAATTATATTTAATATTGAGGTACAAAATTATTATTAAAAAGGTAGTTTTTAAGATTACCTATTTTTAAAACATAAATAGCACCCTACATGTTTGATTTGTCTATCAATTGAAAGCAGAATGTTATAATTAATATAATCACAGTTAGATAACCAGTTTTTAATAAAGTAAATACTTTTTGTACTTTTTGTGTAGTTACTCATCAATATTTAAGGTGCGGTTGATAGTGTGTTCGGATATGCATAACACCATAGTCCACCCCACCCTTAGCCTACATGTTTAAACACAATTAACTTAAGAAGTATTTAAATATACTTAATAATATTAAAAACTGGTTATCGATCGGCATAACAGCTAATGCTATTGGTAATGGGCATTAATGAGCTGTACGGTGAAAAGTTACTTTTTTTTTATTAACACATATATTTTAAACTGCATGAACAACGCACATTTTATAATGCACTTATACATCCGGCATACGGGAGACAATTAACAATATTAGGTTTCTCGAAAAAAGTTACAACTATGTTTTGTTTTTTTTAAAATCATTTTTATTTATGTTATTTTTAGTTATTATAAAACTAACGAATATGTACCTTTTTACGAGATAAAAAAACTAATCAAATTGTGGTTGTTTTTCCGTGATTTTGAACTTGCAGGGGAGGTAGATTAAAAATTCAACTAGACCCAAAATAAGTACCACCTGTTGTGACAGCTAGAAATATTATTACACAACTTATTTGGAACTTTGACGAGTATTTAATATTTATGTATAAACATGAATACATTGAGATGTATTTTATGAGAGTGGGAAAACAAAAAAAAAATAGTTAAAATACAATGTTTTCACCCATTTTAACTATGGTTAGACAACCCAGTCTAAACATAACGCTAACTAACTAGAAAGAGTTAGCTTAACCGCGCTTTATACATGTAAATCAGTTACGTTAATCAGTCAACTAATAAATTAACCGACTAGTTGAGTAAATAAAACATTTAACTTTTTAACTAATGCTCAACGCCATTGGAAATAAAACGTTTCATTTGAACATAACAAAACTGTTGTTCGTCCATTGTGTACTAAGATATTATAGTATAGAGATATAGGTAGTATTTATCGATTTTACAGGTCTACATGTTTGGTCGATAACGAAGTCGGCTCTCACACCGGCGTCGGGCCCCGTAATTTATGTTATCCACTTTTTAACTTCACTTTTTATCATTACCGTTATTTTTTTACTTTTCAAGTGCACGCCGTGCCGTATAAGCTCGGCTGAGCGCATGTGCTTTGTACATTTTTCGCCCTCGCCGTCGCCGCCGGTTACATAAACGCGTGCAAGGGATGAACACCCGAAAAGTTTTTTTTTTTTTTTTGTGTGTGTGTATGTGTATCCCTTGGCGCAAATTATTATAGCATGGTGGCGACGACGCCCCGGAATTCTTTGCCGGAGGAATAGGGAAAGGGCCGCCGCCACTCCTGTCCGCATAGTCTAGGCGGGAAACGTCGCGTGCGATAGGTCCTTATCGTCTTGCCGACTACCGGCACCCTTATCACCCACCCCTCCCCCCTTATCGTCCAATCCCGAGTTTTTTTTATTTATTTTTGCTTTACTTTATTTTTACTGTTTGTTTTAAGCGCGGCGGCACGACTCCTATACAGATAACAAACAACGTTATCAGTTATATATAACCGCGATAACGGCAAGGTGGTTCGCACCCTTGTAGCGGATTCAACAAACGGGCATTTAGTATTTACCTAAGTCTAAGTCCCCAAAAACACAATACCGTTAACCTTTCATTAGAAGTCGCTGTATTGACAAAAAAGTAAAAAAAAAAAAAAAACCAGAAAGCAAAGAGGTTAATTGGGATGTACCACAGATGATTGTCGAGGCGCTTGGTGGTTCATGAGTTAAGTATCCAGACGTGGACAACATTAATTCTAACACTTTTTTTATTGTTATTTAAACTCGTTCCAATAAAATTAATATTACTAAGGTCGTTATAAAAAATATATAGGTATGTCATTGTATTTAATATTTAAATTGAAGGGCTTGGATACAACAACCAGCTAAATCCATTTTTTTCAAAAATTGTTCTTTCATGGGAAAATGCTCACGAAAAATGTATCTACATTTTGGTGGAACAAACTAAAAATACTACAAAACGCATGTTTCCCCGCCTATAGTGATAAACGGAATAATGGATTTTCTTTGACGCTCCTGAACAAATTTAAAAATTGGATTTATCTGGTTGTTGTTCCAAGCCCTTCAATTGTTACATAGATTTTACTTTTTATAGATTCGATACGAAGGTTTCAATGATGTACCCTTTTTTTGGGGGGGGGGGAGTACAGAGGTTTTTTAACCAATTTTTATCACATATAAAGAGTATAATATAATACCATAAAAACTATGTACTCGAACTAATAACTATATAAATATTAGTCAAAGGTGGAGGATCTAAAAAAGACGCAAATTCTGAACGCAACAATAGATTTTTTGCTGCAACCAAACCTATATACATTATTTTACTGGATAAAAATCAATACTACCAAATAAATCAAATTAATTAAAGACAAAGAGCTCAAGGCCATACGTCTAACGAACTTTTATAATATAAATAGGTAATAGTCGTAGGTATTAGTCTAAAAGAACTATTAAAAAAATCAATAATTAAAATGCAAACATACCTTTTTGTGTAGCTTCATAAAATATAACAAATGTAGACAAATGACTTCTAAGAAACGCATTAGCCTAACAATAAGACTGTTATAATTTATAACCAAAGAGAAAACATAAAACAACTTTTCTTTTGAAAACCTCATCCTAAATCTTAAGAAATATGACTTTGTTTGCTTTTTCCTCAAGCACTTAATACACTTTTATACTCGAATAAAAATCACGATTTAAAGTAACTAAAAATATCATTAGAGTTTTTTTGAATGAGTTAAATAAGTTTCGTTTTAATATTTAATGCTTAGGTGCCTCTCGATTTAGTACAAGCGTATGCCAGGGTGAGTCCTCTGTTTGATATTCAAATAAATTCGAAGCCTCTTGTACCTCATCGAAACGGTACCTTTCAAAATCATCCTCTCACATCATTATCAACTGTGCCTTACGGGTTCAATGGATGCACCATCAATGGCTTTTCTATTATAATAATATTGAATTTACAAAATTATAATAATATTTCGTTTGAATTGCATGTGATTTATGTTAATGATATTATATAAAGAGTAGATATTGGTACCTAGTTTTAATAATTAATTTCACAAATTTGAATTTTTGTAATATTGCAGAATAAAAAAAGAAAAAAAAATTGTTTGTTCAATAGAGTTATTCCACTGTTGTCACAATAATGGATTGGATTTTCAAATACTATTTTTGAGGTGAAAGATCTTTTGATGTTTTTTTATACACACAATTAATACATTTTGCTCTGGTTCCTCCTAGATTTAGATTAGAAGAAAATATGATTAATATTTCTAATTTTAATGATGAGGTTATTAATAAGTTCACGAAGAGGGCCGAAGGACCTTTCCAAAAATCACCACTGCTGTTTAAACTTTGTTTAAAAGATTTCGACGATGCCTGAATAAATGTCCATAACAATGATGTAATGATTTGATAAAAAAATTTTAAGACTTAAGGTGTATACCTATATCTATAGCATCTCTGCACCGTATCGAAGCTAAAATCTAGAAAACATGCCTTGACAGACTAAGAAGTCTGTCATATCAGGGGAAGTCATGTGATCAACAGTACCCTTCATTGGTTCTGCATGAAAACAAAAAAAGACTAAGAATCGGTCACTCGTCCCAAATTCCCTATTTTAATTTAAGAACCCTCATATTATTTTTAAACCTAACCGGAGTCCTTGAGAAAAAATTATGATTTGAAGATACCCAAACGGAAGAAAGAAAAACGATAACCTTCTTAACGCTCCGCCTATAGAAACTTAGATCGGGTAATCTTCAGGGCAATCATCGGGTAACTGTAGGGTATCCTTAAAAATGTGTTCAGGAATTCATAAGGATACCACAAGGGTTCTCGGCGCTGTTAAGGATTCCTCACTCGCGGTTGCCCAATGTAAATAATTGGAGCTTTCAGTG